TTTAAAAAAAAAAAAATTATTAAAAAGTTCCGACCACATGGGGGCAGTGTTCCATTGACAGAGGGACGGCTGAAAACCAGAGCAAGGTGAACCGAGGGCTGCCAGACAAGGGCATTGGACGTGTTTCCGGGGCCAGTGAGGTCTTGATTAGCTCTGAAAAGAGAACATTCTCGGGACTTTCAAACCAAAGTGACCAGAGCTAGAACAGTGGACAAAGCCACCAAACAGGTCAGGGCTGAGCCTCCAAATTCAAATCCTTGGAGGCTCCAGGAAGAAGAAAGAATGGAGCCTCTCCTGAAGGTTTTATTGATGCTACTGGCCTGGGAGTGGGGACAGAGTTGAGGAGGCCGGAAGGGCACTGGCAAGAGAAAAAGGGAGCAACCCTGGCAATGAAATCTGGAGGGAACCAGGACAATCTGAGAGGTTTATTCTAAAGAATGTAAGACAAAAATGAAAAATTATAAGAACAAAATCAAACCAGTTTATTCGTATGAAAATATTTTTGTTGCTCCTGAACAGGGTCAAGTGGACAACCACTTGAGGGACAGTTCTCCTTCTCTGACCATCAAGGAAGGTGAGAGATTCACACTGAACCATGGTTACAGAGATAGAGCTTTCACCCTCTTCCAGTGGATCAGACAAGATCCTGAGCAGGGCTTCTTCTCTCTGATGCAAATACTGTGAGAAGATCAGAAGATTTATGGCCAAGATACGCAAAGGAGGCCAGCACTTTCCCCTGCACATAAAGGAATCCCAGCTCCATGATTCAAACATATTCTTCTGTGAAGCGGGCACACAGTGCCCTTGGGCATCTGCAGCGTGTACTTAAACCTTACTGAGGGGTCCAGGCACAGCTTCTTTTATAAGGACTCCAGGGCCACTTACTCTAACTGTTGCTTTAAGTAAAGAGAAATGTGAGGAGCTTTTTGGTAATGTCAAACATTTCATTTGAAGACCATGTGCACATGGATAGTATTTTCAAATACTATCTACTGTATTTTGTTTCTCGGTGTGAAGCTTTTGCTTCAGTTAAAACTAATCCAAAAACTTGAGGCTTAATAGCAGGAGGAGAGAGAGCCCTAAGGAACAAAGAGGGAACAGAGTAAAATGCCTGCCTTTGAACTCCTTTGTAGACTTTTACAAAGATAGAGCAAATAGAATCTTGAAAGCCAGGATCATCAAATTCAGTAATGAAAGAAAACATATTTTGACATTCCAAAAAGATTGGCTTAGAAGATCAAGTATCAAAACCTGAGGGGAAGTGGTACAAAGATTATAAAGGAAGGGTAAAAAGCACATTGCGTGATGAAAAAGTTGGCTCCTTCTTAAAAGAAAATAAAAGTATAAAACCAGCTATCTAGAGAGGAAGTCAGTGGGTAGGCCCACAGGTTATAACAATGAGTCTTTGAAAAGTGCCCAGCATTCTGCTCTTTTCTAGGATTAGAACCCCAAGCAGATAAAGTGGGAAGAAGGTGAGTCACATTTAGAAATGACCATGAATGAAAGGAGTCATACGTGCAGGAGAAGCACAGGCCCACACTGTTCAGACCATTGCATCTCAATAAACACACACCAAAGAGTACCCACTACAGAGGAGACACTGAATGACCAGTTGACCCTTCCAGAAACTGTCAGCCAACCTCTGTCCTTTCCCACATCATTGCTTCAACAATAGGCCCACGAATAGATCAAGATGATGGAATCAAAGTTCTCTGTCACTTCAGAAGCATGGGGTTTTTTTCTTGCTAAGTCAGATTTAGCCACTTCTACTACAGATATCCAACCTATCAGAAGTAGATACAACTGAGCTTCTCATATGGACTCAGTCCTTTGGGAGACCAGCCAGCCATTTGTTGGTAAATTATCACATAGGACCACTTTCATCCTGGAGGTGGCAGAAATTTTTTCCCAATGACACACATTCTGGGTATAGATTTACCTTCCATTCCCCAGTCCCACACATGGCAGCAGCAACTGAGGACTCAGGGTGTCTTATTGATCATTATAGTTATCAAGGAACTACACCTTCTTGCAGCATCAGACCATATAGCAAGGAGGTAAGCCAATGGGCAAATGATCATTGTGTATACTGATTCTACTGCATATAGCATTACCCACAAGTCACTAGACTGATAGAACACTAGAATGACCACTAAAAGGTTCAGCTAGTGCATTAACTTAGATGCACTTTGAGAGTTTGGAGAGCTGTTCAACATAGTACTATGATCTTGTTAGACAAAATGTGTGGAACTGGAATCAAGGATGGAAAGAGCATTATCTCCCCCAGAAAATCCCACATTTATTAATCCAATTTTGTGATTCCTGTTCTCACAATTCTGGGCCTTGCTGGATAAAAGACCATGCTTCTATTTGAGGGAAAAGAGAGGGGTGTGCTTCCACAAGGTGAGCAGAAAGGGTCTTCCATTTGGTCATTTGAGAGTCCTCATGCCAGTAGACCAGAAAACCAAGAAAATAGTCAATCCACTAGCAGAGACAATTGGTCCTGATTGATTATCATGAGGATATAGGGTTGTGGCAACCCAATAAGAACCAGTAAAACATGTCTAAAACCCAGGAAAGACTATCAGCAGTTTTGTGCCTATGATTTATAAGCAGGCAATTGTAGCAACTATGGTCTGACAAAGGCTGAATAACTAAGTATTTAGACCCATCATAAGAAAGGTCTTGGTTACTGCCTAGGAAAGAAATATAGGCCATCATTAGTAAAAGGTGAGGAGAATAAGAGAAGTGGTATTTATCACATTTATTGATAAATATTAATTACAAACTTGAAATCAACTATTGCCTCTTTTTTACTTGTCCCAGTAATCCTTCTTGTGTCTTTTATTCTAAGATTGGAGATCTGAGTGGTTTCCATACAGAGCACAAGTAGATCAGAGCAGGGAAAGGGATGGATTATACAGATGCTATTGATGCCCCACCCATGTCCTCTTGGTGGGGCACCTAACAGTTCTTTTCCCCCCCATATTTTATTGGTGCATCATAACTGTATGTAATGGTGAAATTCACTTGTTATATATCCATAAATACATACAATATAATTATACATATAATTTGGCCAAAATCATTCCTCAGCATTTCACCTTTTCTTCCCCCACTTTTCCCTCTCCCTGGTCCCTTTCCTTTACTCTTCTGATCTCCCATTGATTTTCCTAAGACCCCCCCACACACCCACACACACCTTGCTTTTCCTTTTTCTCTTTAGAATTCACATATGAGAAAAAACATGTGACCCTTGTCCTTCTGAGTTTAGCTTAATTCACTTAACAAAATGTTCTCAAATTCATCCATTCTCCTGCAAATGACAACATTTCATTCTTCTTTATGGCTGAATAAAATTCCATTGTGTATATAAGCCACATTTCTTTACCCATTTATTCATTGATGGACACTTAGGCTGGATCCATAGTTTGGCTACTGTGAATTGTGCTGCTATAAACATGGGCATGCATGTATCACTATAGTATACTGACTTTATTTCTTTAGGATAAATAATGAGGAGTGGCTAGGGATGTGGCTCAAGCGGTAGCACGCTCGCCTGGCATGCATGCGGCCCGGGTTCAATCCTCAGCACCACATACAAACAAAGTTGTTGTGCCTGCCGAAAACTAAAAAATAAATATTAAAAAAAATCTCTCTCTCTCTCTTTAAAAAATAAATAAATAAATAAATAATGAGGAGTGGTTTAACTGGATTGTACAGTAGTTCCATCCCTAGTCTTTTTAGAAAACTCCATACTGATTTCCATAGGGGTTGTACTAATTTATAATCCCACCAACAACATACTAAACACTTCTTGCTGAAAATTCCAGCAGCTCTGAGAATCATTTTTTTTAACCAGAGATTTGTGCCACAAAAGCAGCCCTTGGTCAGTGATAGACACGTTTATTAGTGATTTCTCCAGCTTCCTCATGTCTCATTTGGGCTATGCAATTCTGTCTCCCAGAACTGCTCAACTGGATTGAAATCCAGTTACCCACAGTGGTAGCTGGATTCATTGCTTCCTTCCTTTCTTCTTGCCTTCCCTGATTCACTTCCAACCATCATTCCCTAAAAATCACCTGCGATAAGCCACTTTCACACACAAATCCTTGTATTGGAGCTGACAGTCAATGATCCAAAACCAGATACAAATTTTCAAATCATGACACAAGGATGGAGATATTCTAGAATTTTTTCTATTGCTATCAAACAGGACTTTGGAGCACAAGAGATTTAGGAACCTCATATGGACTATTGACAACCTTTAAACTCCCTGCACTTCTCTCTGAGAGGGGACACTCATTTATGTCTGTGCTACAGACCTGTGCTCCTCAGTACCCACCATGTAACAGCACCCCCATCCACATTCCAGGCTTGGGAATCCAACTCTTGGATTGCGTATATCCTGTCACTGAACAATTCTAATGAATCCAAGCAACATTTTCTAAAAGTTCTTTGTTCATAATATTTTCTCAAAATGAGAGTTATATGAGTAACTCAATTTCAATATAAATTAAACTAAATCACTTGAAATAATTTAGTGCTGATGAGAACTACTGCTATAGTTATTTCAGTTTCTTGATGTAACACAATCCAGGCCTTTATTTTAAAAAAGTGTCCATGGAAAACGCAAATACAATTAAATACTACATGTTCTGCTTCTACTTATTTAGTAACCTCTTTTCTGTCACATCTGTTTTCTCATTCTTTGCTTTGAAAGGTTATAAATTTTTTTAAAAACTCACCCATAATTAATTGTTCATGTTTTATTATATTTGCTTAGTCATTTTTATGTGAAGTTTACCAGCCACATTTCCGGTATCTCCCTAGACTAAATAAACTTGGAAAAGAGTTTCAACTTCCATTTGAAACTAAAGTAAAAAGCCTACTTTCTGAAAGAGTAACTAAAAAGTGTTGGAAAATCATTCTTCAATGAGACGTAATCACCCGCCCACCTGTGAGAGCATTTCCTGTATTGAAGGAGAATTGTTACCAAGCACACAGGAGAACCCAGATGGAAGCAGAAGACTTTATACCCTGCAGGGGAGAGCTGTCAGCATGACACTCGTGAGCTTGCCGTGGGCAATCCTGGTCTCCATCTGTCTTGGTAAGAAAGGTGTAGGTCTTTATTTATACTGGTATCTAATGGGGATGTGAAGCAAGAGAGAGGATAAATAGTACTGAATCTCCACTGTTTCTTAAAGCCCGGCTACCAGGAGGCAAAAAGTGTACATACACTGGCTGGGGCTTGAAACAAGAGGAAAGGTGGCTGGGAATGGGAACCAACTTGTAAGTCTGTTTGTTTATCCCTCCAACATGATGCTCCAGCAAAGTCTTTTCTCCCCTCTTTCCCACAGAAGCCAGCATGGCCCAGAGAGTCACCCAGTCTCAACTAGAAATGTCAGTACAGGAGGCAGAGACCGCCACCCTGGACTGTACATATGACACACGTGAGAGTAATTATTATTTGTTCTGGTACAAGCAAACTGTCAGTGGGCAGATGATTCCCATTATTCGCCAAGAAGCTTATAAGCAAGAGAATGCAACAGAGAATCGCTTCTCAGTAAACTTCCAGAAAGCTGCCAAGTCCTTGGGTCTCAAGATCTCAGACTCACAGCTGGGAGATGCTGCTGTGTATTTCTGTGCCCTCCAGGAGCACACAATGAGACAAGCACCAGGGAGAGGCTGACAGAAACCTCAGACCTCAGCCTCTGTGCAGGGGTAGGAGGAAGTGACTGAGATAATAGGAATAGAAAATCATTTACTTCTCTTGGGAATCAATGCTCCTCTTACCCAACTATAAGAAAAGATATAGCAGATATGGACATCTACAAGTTTAACCCTTAAATAACAGTGAAGATGATGGCATGTGCAGGGGTTTCCAGTTTTACCAAGTTCATTCACTACTGCACTTCACCCTTGGAGCTCTGTATGGTACCATGACAGGTCAGACATCCTAAGCATTTTTTTTTCTGTACAATGAATGTTTATAATTTGCCTTGGAGCTTTCACTTTTAGGAATCTTAACCTTTTCCCACTTTGTCTATTAAAGTTTGTGCTTTCAATTGTCCATCCATGTCTAAAATTGAATCTCTTCAACACAAGATTCCATTTCAGAACACAAGAGGTATAACAGTGGGGATCCACTGGATTTACAAGACAACCATGGTACCTACATCAGATTTCCTAGAAAAATGACAAAACAGTCCATTGAAGGCTCATCCAGGAGCCATCTTGAGGACAACACTCTCAGTGGTTGAAATGCTGTCCTCTAGAAAGCAATAATATTCATTAAACCCTATTACATGGCATGAGTTGAGAATCCAAGAAATGGAATTGGAAGAGTCTTGTAAAGGACTTGTTTCCCTTTCCTATAACACTAGGTTCTGCTGGATCAGAGGGCTCAGTTCCCAGAGGAAGAATGCTGCCACTAGGGCATTCAGAAAGTGTTCCACTGAACCTGCTGCTATGGCTGTCATCTAGGTCACTCTGAACTTCTTATGCCAATGGCCCACCAGGGAGAGAGGAGTTTTTAGATTTGGAGGGGTAAGTGACCCTGATCAACATGAAACACTAGGTGGTTATGACACAATGAGGGTAAAGAGGAATATATTTGGAACATAAGTGTTTCACAGTGGTGTCTCCTGGTGTTTCCATGACTTGTAAAAGCCCCAAGTGTCACTATAGCAACAAAGTATGAAAAGGGCAAAGTGGTCAAGAGGTGAAACCCTTCATCAATGAAGATCTGGGCCAGTCCAGTAGGCAGACTATCAAGGTTGCTAAAGTACCATTCAAGGATAAAGAAATCCTGAAGGTGTGTTGAGAAGGGAGAAGACAAGTATCCATTACAACCTTGGAAGTGGAGACTGGAACTCAAGTGTTACTGTTATAAAAAGACTGCAGCTGGTCCTCACCTTGAAGACTCAGTGACACAGAGGAAACAATACAATGAAAGTATATATCCAATTGTGCAGAGGCATTTCATGAGCTTCATTGTCCTACCCAAATGTCTATCTTTGATTTTAGTCATAGCAGGGATAGGTGCCAGAGAAGCTCAACATTCAACATTAAGTTTTGTTGATTTGTTTGTTTGTTTTTTACTTCCTGTATCTGGGCTTCTCTGATGCCTCAAGAACTCAGTCCCTGGGCAAGCATGGCCTGAAAGTGTAGAGGATTTATGACCCCTGCTAGTCAATACCAGCTAGTGCGGAAAATGCTCTAAAATCTCTGCTTCCTTCAAGTAGACAATTCTGAGAGGACTCCTGCTTGCTAATCAGAAGATCATGGCAGAAGCAAGCTGCAGTATTGCTCTCCCCACTCAGGCTTCCCAAGATCCAAATGACCTACATTCACCCAAATCCTGTGTCAGGCTCTATTTGGAGAGAAACCAAACCAATACAGAGATTCTTTGGAAAACCAATTTTAAAAACACAGAGCAGGGCTCAAGGTAACCTTTCCTGGACTGCTAATAAAGACCTGTGGGGTACTTGAGTGATTAATTGGAAAAGAAGATTGTCCATTTTTCCAGAAGATGATAAGGCAAATCATACTTATAAAACTCCAATTTCTGCATAAGTGTGATCATATCTTTTCATTGCTCCAAAACTTCACTTGCTAAGTCTAAACGCTTTTGTGTCTCCATGGCCTCATCCCCAAATCTGATTACCTCTATTATTTAAACCTCATTCCTATTCCTTCCCAAAATATGCCTCTCTTCTGGTTAATCTGTTCTCCTCACTGACACAGAAACACCTCAAGCTCATTGTTGGCTCTAATATTTCTCCTCCGGTTGTCCACCCACCCAAATGTCCCTTTTCTGTGTAGTTAAGTCTGGTCGATTCTTATTAACCCTACAATGCACACCTTAAAGCTCCATCTCGCCCAAAATTCTTTCTCCATTATCAAAAAATCCTTTAATTCCTTCTCTTTGGTTATCATACCATACTGAATCTGAAATGAACAATCCAACTCTTAGTGACCTAACTTCTTGAGGCATTGACATCATTTCAAGATACCCATCTTTCATCTCCCCACATACACCCATTAGAGCTACTCTGGGGAGAGAGATTGCCTTGTGCACTTCAGCATTTACCATTGCCCTTAGCATGGTGTCAGACACAGGAATACTGATAAAGCCCCAAGATTATGCTTAAAATTTATTGTGTAATCATCCCATATTCCTGAAAGAACATTAAGAGGAAGCATCAGTATATTTTAACACAGTTGCAGTTTTCATTTAGGAGGGAAGTCATGATAAATGGTAGGGTTTAAGAAAACAGGAATAAACAAAAAGATAGGATTCACTTTATATATAGCTTTCTTTGATTTACTGTAAATAGAAATCTGAAACTCACATAAACAGATTTCTTAGAACAGATTTGACTAAACTAAGTTCTTTCCCTTCTGAGGAATAGATTCTAATTGCCTGATGGTTATCTCTTTGACCTGAAGAGGGCACTCCCTGCTCCCATTGACAAATGTAAAAGCCTGTCTCAGGAAGAATCTGTTAGGAGATAGGTGTGGTGTGGTGGTTTAGGCTTGCAATCCCAGCTACATGGGAGGCTGAGACAGAAGGACTGTAAGTTTTAGGCCAGCCTGGGTAATTTAGGGAGTCCCTGTCTCAAGATGAAAATTTTTAAAAAGCTGGGGGTATAACTCAGTAGTAAAGTGCCCATAGGTTAAATCCCCAAAATTACTGCAAAAAAAAAACCAACAAAAAACGGTGGCGAGGAGTATCTATTATTTTCCTAACGAGGTAGGCATGGTGACATACATCTTCTCCAGCAACTCAGGAGGTTAACATAGGCGGGATTGCAAGCTCAAGCCTGGGGCAACTGGATGCGCTGCTGCCTCAAAATAAAAATAAAAAGGGCTAGAGATCTACCTCCATGGTACATCATCCCTGGGTTCAATTCCCAGTACAAAAAGAAGTTTCTGTAATACACACAAAAGAAGTGGAACAAACCCTTCTTTATTTAAAGAATCCAGGCAGATTTTCATATTCTCTGAATCAAATTCTTCTTAAATTTAGAAACACCAAAGCAAGAGGTGTTTCTAGGAACCACATTTATGCATGAGCTGAGAGAATTTATGGCATCAGGAACCCAGAGGACCTGCTCTGAGCTGCAGGAGGTCTCTGTCTTTCATAGAAGGGACTTAAAGAAGAAATGAATGTTCTTTTTAAATACACCCTTTGACATTAACTGTTTAAATAAATTAGCTATCAAATGAAGAAAGATGAAAGTCCTTCCTAACTGACCAACCAAAAAAGAAAAACTTTTATTATCAACTATAATTATTTGAACAGTATTTTAGATCCACAGGTAAAGGATGAATCAGGTCTAGAATAAACCTGATGCCTTTGTTTTTGTTCTTGTTAGCTAGCGCTCTGTAGCACAAGGAAGATCAACAGTCTCTTTCAGCACTGAAATGCCAGCTCCAATGCTTAATGCACATCAAACCACCCAAGCAAAAGACTCAGCCACCTACAGCTTTGTGCAGGGAGCCAGACTCCCCAGACACTCCACATGCATTTGGCCCCAGGCATCTGGCCCCATTTAATAATATCTTAACTTGGGCACTGTTAAACAATCTCATCATCTCCTCTGACAAGAAAAAAAAATTGCAAATGGATATAATGAATCAGAAAAACCTTTTGAAAAAGACTCTTTTTAAAAGTCTATTCACAATATTTTCAAAGAATTGAGTCATAAAGACATTAAACTTGAGATGACTGAGTGATTAGGACTGGGGACCCCTATTGGTCTTTAGTTGAGACACCTACCTGAGAGGGAATATCAAGGTCTAGAGCAGCTTCTCACACCCAGGCCATTAATAATTGTGCCCATTTCTGCACCTGCAGCAGTTCTCCATAGAATGTGGCAGTAAGGTGGGATACTCAGATGATGCTTTTCTCCTGGTTTGACTTTTTCTAGTCTAACCCACTCACTCTAGTGATAGTAGTTGCCAAATGATGGAGCACACTGGAATTTTTCATGCTGCCCAGAGGGGTTCTGCTTCCAGAAAAAAGACAACAACCTGCCACCCCCGTCCTTATATTTGCCCTCTTGAAAGCTCTTTCATCATCATTTTATCTTCAGAACTCAATAATCTGACTAACTATATGTAGAACAGGGAATCGATCAGATGATGAATGTAAGACACTAAAGTTCTATTTGCTTGAGCCCAGAGTTCCAGGAAATTACTAATTTTCTTTTTTTGTTTGTTTGGGGGTTTTTTTGTTTGTTTGTTTGTTTTGTTTTGTTTTTTTGGTTCTGAGGATCAAATCTGAAGCTTTGTGCACACTAGGCAAGCACTGTACCACTGAGCTACATCCCCAGATTCAGGAAACAATCCAAACAGCAAGGTAGACCCTCTGGCTTGGCACCTGACAGGCAGCGAACCCAGGATGAGGCAGGGAGCATTTAGTCCTGAGACCCTCATTAGTGAGCTCACAGGTTCAGCTGGGCTGAGAGTGAAAGAAAAATGCAGCTCAATCATCCAGATATTCCTGTAAAGACTGAAGGAGAAATCATACAGCAATAACAGGTTTTCCGATTTCCTGTGACTTTGGCCAGAAAAATGGTAGATGGGACAGAAATTTAATCACTGAGTAGACAAGCGAGAGAACTGTCACCTTCAGCAATGCCCACAATTTACCATGCTTTCCAAATGGAAATAATAAACAGG